TGGATATTTTTCGGTTTGTGCAGAATGCTGTCTTGATGTTGTGTTTGTGGAGGATCTTGCTGATTCTGTCTGTGGTGCCTTTTATGTATGGGAGGAGGGCTTTGCCGTTTTCTTGTTCTCTGTCTTGGATTTTGGTGGGGGTTTCTTTTCGGATTAGGTTGGTAATCTTATTTCTTTGGAATCCATTGGATGTTAGTACATTAGTGAGAGTGTGTAGTTCGGTTTTTAGGTGTTGTTCGTCAGCTAAGCATTTTGTTCCAGACATATTAATTATTATATTGATTCTCAAGGAATTCAGTAAGGGAATATGTTGCATTTACTCATTTGCCTGTGGTCAGTAATTGGCTTATTTTTGGCAATGAAAATGGTATGATAGACACAGAAACAGAATTCCTATAGAGAGTACAGGGAATGGCCTTGAAGGACAGACAGGAGGATAGGTCCCTGCTAAGGCAGATAAGAGGGGCTTGAGCTTGGGCCATGAAAGCAACTGGAGAAAACGTTCAAACAGGCCCCTTCCAAGTTCACATGAAGATAAAGGAAGGGAGGGACAGGAAAATTCAGCAAAGAAAACAATACAGATAGAAAAAGGAAAAAAAATCATTTAAATAAATGATTTCCAATCTTCTTTACAGCACTTACAAACTTGCTATCTCTCCACCCCCTTTACAACTACATATATAATTTCCTTTCTATTTTAAATTTTTTTTTAAATCAGCAAATCTAGAAATCACTAAGTCATTTTTATCCAGTTTCAACAAAAATTTCATAGAAGGTCTTTTCTGAAAGTAATTCTTGTTTTATCCCTGGCCATCCCAACAAAGTAATATCTTTTTCTATTTAAACCTAATCACTCCTTGTCAGTTAGAACGGTATCCCTTTCTGTTTGAGATTATCAGTCAGAAAGATGTGGGTTTTTTTCTCCATGCAGTTGTTGTAGAACCGGATTGTCTTCTTCATCACAAAGTGCACAGTAGCTTTTGGTACATTTCTTGATTTTACAAATCTTATATTAATTTGATTCCCTTATCAACTTCTGCATCATGTCATATTTGCCCCATTTTAAAAATTTTGCTAAGACTGCAGCAGCCCTTTTCTCAATATCATCACAAGGTTATTCTTATTCCTCTTATGGGCTATCTTAGTTTCCATTTATTTTTTTCCTTTTTAAAAAATGTTTCTGTTTTAGTTTCTAAAATTTCTATCTTTCCCTAAATCTGTCCACATTTTTAATTCATTTTTCTTCCTTTCTCCATTCTTCCTAAAAATATAAACAAATCTCTCTTAACAAATTCAGTCATTGTTATTGTCACAAATGTTGTGATATTCTTCCCCAATTTTTCAGACATCCTTTGTAAAATCTCAGGTTTAATCCCTATTGTTTGCTATGTTAACAAAGCCCCCACCCAAACAGAACACTCCCCCATCCAATCAGAGCACAGCGAACCCCCCATCCAATCAGAGCACAGCCAGGCTCCTTAACCAATCAGAACACACCTCCACCCAATCAGAACACAGCCAAGCTCCCACCCAATCAGCTCCAACCCCACTGGCAGTTAAAAGGAAGAAACAGCTGCGATCACACACCACTNATATATATATATATATATATATATATATATATATATATATATATATATATATATATATTTGCAATTGTCCTTAACTCTTTGTTTAAAAAAGTTAACCAATCATTTCTGTTGGAAAATTTAAACAGACCCCTTTCCAATGAAGGCATGTATTATTTATATAATTAATTCAAAGGCACTTTAAATTGAACAATTTTCCAAATTCAACTCATCCCTTTATCCATTTTAAATTTCCATAGATCAAAATTTTGGTAAGTATTTTGCTTTCAATTACTTTAAATTTTTTATAGTTTTTTTTTTTAAAAATTTCACTTTAATCGCACCTTGGGCCAAAGGAACACTCATCAGGTTTCAGCCTTTCCAGATAGACTACAAACACAATCAAATGAGCTAAGACGACATTACATCAGACAGCTTGCAAATCTGATAATACAAATCTCCCACCATCTCTTTTACAGGCTGAGAAGTTAGGGAGATTCCATTCTGAGTTTCTTTCTCAGGGCTATATTCTTCCTTATCTGTTTGTTCCCTAGCATCATCTCTTCCCCACCCTCACCTGCCACCCCTGTTTCCTAAGGTTATTCCCATATACCATTACGCCAGCTGGTCTAGTTGTTCTACTGTTCAGAAGGTCCCTGTATTTGTAACACAAAGTGTACATTGCAACATTGGTGTTTGAGTGAACCCAGAATCTTTTAGCAAGGTCTGCTGGGGTTGTGAGTTTTGTTTCTTCTGTGTCTCCCAATGTCCTTATCCATGGATTGCCTGCAGGTTCCCTATGAATCCCTGGGGTTTTCTTGGAAGGAACTACCTTCTGGAGCAGATATCGGCAATCTCTTGGCTTTTCCATATCCAGAGAAGCACTGTTGAAACAGGCTTGCCATCCAATCACCAGTTTCCACCTTAGCATCATCTCTATTCTTTGAAAACTTGTCAGTTCACCATTTTTCTCCACCTGGAAACCCCTCAGGTGTTGTATTTTAATCAGGGAATGGCATCTTTTGTCCTGTCCTGGCATTCTACAGATATATTGGACTCTATGTTGGGTTCATGGTCATTGTAGTCCAGTACATATGGAAGTTACCAGATTGGAGAAAATTGTAACAAACATCTTTATGTGTTTTCATATTTCTGAATGCTGTAACAGGGAAAGGAAACATCTCCCAGAAAAAAGTCATCAGAAGATATTAAGCCTTCCTTATCATGAAAAGATACAGGTTCCAGTTACAAAATGGGATCAGCTGCTTGAGGAAAAGAAGTGGATACAGGTAAGCAGAATATGATGTACTTTGTGGGATAGTCTTGTGGATATGGGCATGCACAGATAAACAAATACACACATTAGCACACATATATTGTTGCAAGACAAAAATCTTGAATAACCCTATCTGTTACTTGGAAAAAAAAAGGGAAATTGGGACCATAAGAGTTATACAAATTTTAAAAATACTTGGATGCTCCAAGTTCAGTTTGGTGAACATGTTTTTATTTTATAGTATTAGTTTTCAAATGTATTTATTAGTTTCTCTGCATTTTTCTTTTCTAAAAGTCTCCCAATAGCTTGATAGACAGAACCATACAATCAATATAGCAATCAGTATTTATTTATTTGCTTGCTTACTTACTTATTAATTACATTTATATGGCCATACAATTCACTCATGGTGACTCTGGGCAGCTTAAAAAAAAGCTACATTAGGGAAGTGGGAGGGGGTGGAATATTGCTTGAATCATTTTTGTTAAATATGATGTACTGTTTGTTATTCATTAATTACTTGAACATTACTGGAAAAATTCTTATCAAAATGGTATTGTTATCACCAGCACAATTTCTACTGCATTGTTAACAGTTCTATTCTTCTGGCAAAACAGGCAGTATCTTAAAGTTTATTGACAGTACATTTAAATTAGAAGAATTGACTCAAAATATAAGCTGATGTTTTAATAAATGAGTAAATAGAAATACAAATGGCATTTCAGGGTTTTTGTTCTATCAAAAAGAAGAAACCACAAAAGGAGAATATTTGTAGCCTAGGGCTGAAACGAAATGTCCTTGATATTCTCTGAGTTTGGTTTTTTTCTTGCAGATGTTTCATTACTCAGACTAAGTAACATCATCAGTGCTGATGGGAGTGGGGTTTGTTCTCACATTATAGGGCAGGGGTCTTCAAACTTGGCCCTTTTATGACTTGTGGACTTCAACTCCCAGAATTCCTCAGCCAGCATGCCTACTGAGGAATTCTGGGAGTTGAATTTCACAAGTCATAAAAGGGCTAAGTTTGAAGACCCCTGTTATAGGGCAAGCCACTAGACCAGAGTATAAATAGAGAGCAAACCCCATTCCCTGCCAGCACCTAGTTTGGGGAAGAAAATAGCCAAGTTCAGAGAGCACCAAGGACCCCCCAAATATCAGTATATCATCATGAGTCAAAGAATCCTACATTTTCTTCCTTTTCTGACAATAATTCTGATTATCATCACTTAATTATTATCAGATGTTCAACTGTAGTGATAGGGTTTTTTTTTAACCTCATTTCATGAAAATAAGGGTTTAGAGATGCATTTTCCATTATCTGAAGACTATTGAATTTCTGACATAATTCCCAGATTGATAGTACAGAGAATGAATGTGTTTGGGTTACAAGCTTGATTTTATACTCAAAATAACAGACCTGATGTTGTCCTGATGACCTCTTTTATCTTCATGACAGAGGTTGACACATTAGCTAGTCTGTTCTTTTCCTACTGAATCTTTCAGGCAGGGGTATAAATAGCATATACCTGAGGCTGCATAAGTGTAAATTGAATTTCTTCAGCCAATTCATTGGATCAAGAAAAAAAAGTGGTTCATCACGAGTTACTGAATATAACTGCAAAGTTAAATTAGCTTTTAAGTTTTGGCTTGACATCAACAGTGTGCTTTTTCAAAGTAACTGCCTGTTGCTATTTTGAATTCATGCCTTTATCTTGTAAATTTATATAATAAATAAGATGGAGTTTGGTGGTTTTTATGAAGAGATTGGACAACCATTCATCTGAAATGGTACAAGGTACCTTGCTTAAGCAGGGGGTTGGACTAGAAGACCTCCAAGGTTTCTTCCAATTGTTTAAATTCTATTATTATCTTCTATTATTCTGTTATTCAGTCCTAAAAAATGTAGGCCACACAGAAAATCTTATAAAAATTAACAGATTGTGCATACATTAACCATATCCAGTGGTGTTAAATCCAATCAACAAATGTGAAACGTTGGTCTTTTAAAGGGAATTTGAATCATTTATGAACACCTTGGCTCAGTGATGAATCTGGGCATTTTAAAAACATGATTTGATAATGGGATTTTTGTCTCAGTGTATATTGCCCATCAGGTGAAGAGGGCTGATTTGATTGGTTGGCCTGATTGGCCTGATCTATAAATGGTTTCCAGTCATACAGGACAGCAGTGTGGTCATATAACTCAAGTGTATGTGAAGAGGACTTGAGTTTCTCTTACACATTTTGTACCATTCATTGATCGGTTTTTCCTTGATAAAGATATACAGCATGTTCCATCTCCATGCAGAAAGAAATTGAAGTTCTTAGAGCAAAGCTGGTTGTTCTGGAAGCTAAAGATCAACAGTTAAAGATAGAAATTCAAGAACAAGACCGCCATATTCATGAGCAAGATTATGAACTGTCTACTTTGCTCAGCTGGGTGTCGCTCAAAGAACTGCAGACAATTGGCAAAGCCTTGGCTGATATTTTGGTGGCCTCCCATAATATTCCATATAGCTTGGATTTTCCAGAACCCATCAAAAGGTATTTGTTTTATGGATTATTTTGTGATAAAAGTCTGCTTTATTCCTTTGCCTCTTATTTTTCATTGCATTGTACTACATTTAATGAAGAAATACATATAAAGAAGTACAGTCTTTAATTCTATATTCCAGTTCTTAGAAAATTGCTGTATGTATCAGAGTAATATTGATATCTGGATTTGAATTTCCTTTACTGATAACCCCATGAAAACATTCATTTATTAGAATAATAGAATCTTAGAGTTATAAGGGTCCACTAAGCCAATGAATCAAATCCCCCACTCAGTATTGTAACACAAATTAAATTATCACAGATAAATGTCTGTCTAGTCTTCACTTGAACCCATGTAAAGAAAACTTGCCCGTCACCTCTCTGGGAAACTGTTTCATCATCAAACTTCTCTTGGTTAACAATGTCTCATTCAGTGAAAATTAAAACAAAGCTGAATGAGTGGTACTTACGACCAGTCCTCAAATCTCAGGCCATCCTAGCACCCCTGTGGTCACAACATTGTGATCTGGGTGCTTGGCAACCAGCTTGCACTTACAATCAAGTGAGAGAAGGGCGGGGTATAAATTGAATAAATTGAATAAAACCTAAATAAATTGAATAAATTGAATAAATTGAATAAAACCTAAACCTAAACCTAAACAATGGTTGCAGCATCCTGCGGACATGTGATTGCCATTCACGACCTTCCTTGCCAGCTTTCCATAAGCCCTGGTGGTGAAGTGGCTAGAATGCAGTATTGCAGGCTAACTCTGCCAACTGCCAGCAGTTCGATCCTGACTGGATCAAGGTTGACTCAGCCTTCCATCCTTCTGAGGTTGGTAAAATGAGGACCCAAATTGTTGGAGGCAATATGCTGACTCTGTAAACCGCTTACACATGGGGAAGCTGGCAGGGAATGTTGCAAAAGGCTCCTTTAAGTTGTTTGCACTCTAGTGGCTTTCCCTCCCAAGGATCCTGGCTATGGTATATGAGATCACAAAGGGACGGACACCTGTGTATCATCCCTCATCTGGCAGCAGTCACCCTAAGCCAGTGGTTCTCAACCTTTTTAATGCCGCAACCCCCAACTGGTCGTAAGTCGAGGACTAAACCGGTCGTAAGTTGAGGACTAAGCCAGTCGTAAGTCGAGGACTAAACCGGTCGTAAGTCGAGGACTACCCAACCGGTCGTAAGTCGAGGACTTTCCCTGCCCGGGAGCGCCACGCATGTGTGATTCCGCCCCCTGCACTGGCCGAGGCTAGCTGGCAAGCGGCAGAGACGGAGCAGGCCGACCACCAGCTGGCCCAGCCCAAGGGAGGTAAGGCACCCGCAGGAAAAGGGAAAAAAAATGGCGGACAGCCTTGCTTGGCGACCCCTGTGAAATGGTTGATTGACCCCAAATGGGGTCGCGACCCATAGGTTGAGAACCGCTGCCCTAAGCTCCACCATACTAGCACCATACTGCAGCAGCCACATATCTCACTGCTGTCCTGCTGGCAAACTGCCTAAGACTTGCAACTTCTTGTTGGCTTTTCCACTGATTTTATTTGCTGGAAGCCAGCAGGAAGTTTCAAAGAGATTCTCACTTAACGACATTGATTCTTGCTTAATGACGACAATGGGAACTGCCGGAATTGCTGTCACTAAGCAATGCATTCACTTTATGACCCCATAACTTAGCAATAGAAATTCCAACTGCAATTATTGTTTTTAAGTGAAGACTACTTGCATTATTTAAAAAAATGTTTTTTTTCCAGAAGCATGCAGTTAGAATCTGTTTTCCTATAGCTTAAATCCATTATTCCATGTCTTTAGAATGAGAGAGTGCAATCTTGACATGGCTTCCTGCACTGTGAAATCTTCTTCTGGTTGAGAAGAGTTGGTTTTATTTTGAAATGGCCCATATATTATGTGCATAGAGGAAGGTATTGTTACTTCACTTTCCGCCTAATTGTGCTGCACACACAAAGCACCTCGTAAAACTGTCCAGAGTTGCAGAGTCGGCACATAGAAATTCAATAAATAATATTATAACACCTGAAAATGAAATTCTACTGGAGCCCCTCCCACAACCTCATTTTTATTCCAATATCATATACCGTATGGAGATTTGATACCTGAAGAGTATGGAGATATGATGATTGGCCCATCCAAACACTTTGAGCTGTATTTTTTATGCCTTCAGTTTCATGTTTTGGAGGGTAATAACCCCCAAACAAGAAAAAAAAATGTCTCTTCTATCCTGCTAGAGTTACAGTAATACTTCTAATCCAAACGTTGCTTGGTCATTTATATATTTGGAATATTCAAGTGACATTTGGGACTGCTAATTAGAGCTGTATTCAATTTTTGTAGCTTTCTTTTTCTGCAGGAGCTCTCTGGAAATTGTTTTCCTTGATAGCTCGCTGTCATCTCTCTCTTTGGTTTAATAGAGCTTTGCTGTTGTCTTTTCTGTTAACGTGTCCTTGAGATGTGCTTATTTCTGTTTTTCTGCTAATTCATGTTGAAGCACAGTACTGTTGACTGTTTTTTTTTCTTTGAAGCCACTGCATTCTCCATCAAGAGGTTCACTATTAAATGTCTTTAAGCTCCCTGCTCCCCAGCTCCATTTGTTCAGTTGTTGGATGCTCTATTTTTAGTTGGATTTAATGACTTTGATACCTGACTTGCATACCTGATTTATCACACTGTGAAATAACTAGACCAACATGGATCCTTCCCATAGGGAACTGATATAATCTTCAAACAGCACAATGTGCACAAGATCTAAAAAAAAATATTCTCTGCACATCCTGTATCAATTTAATAGCCACAAATGTTAAGATCTGGACAATTTTTTTAGAAAAAACCATCCAGCTCCTAGTTAAATCTGAATGATATGCAAACTATTATTTGCACTTTTAATTTTATTTTGAACCTTTTTACACCTTTTAAACCTTTTTAACTCTTCGTATCAGTGACTTCTTGATAATTATGTCCTGGGAATTCAAAGGCTATTTCCATAAGCTGTCATTTGCAACCTTGAAATCCTGTAAAATTTAAAAGCCAGCAGTGGTGTTCTCACTGTTTCTTGATATAGCACATCATTTGATCCATGAAACCTGTAGAAGAGCATGACAGATGGTTTTTCCCTAGTTCCCCATGACTCTTTGACATCCAGTACTTTTATTGGATGCATTGAAACAAAAACACCAGTACTTACAAAGGGATGTTAAGACACTAAGCTGCTCCTTGTACTGATCAATTAAGTAGTGAGGAGCTAGTGAGATACAAGTGACTTATTCTATTAGGGGAGGAGAAGATTCATCCAAATAAGTGAGAGAAGTCCAATGCTTCAAGTGGAAAATTCCATGTGTTTTTCCGCTTGAAGTGCAGGAGGAAGTACATGGCTTCAATTGCCCACCAAAGATGGAAGTCTGGAGTCAAATGAGTACAGAGCCAGTTCTGGGAGCAACATGAATGCTTCATATTGAAGCCCCCAAGAGACAATTCTTGTGCTTTCTGCATCTTTTAACATGCTCGTGTTATTACTGAAGTCTGAAACATGGAATACAATAGCTTTTCCTCTCTATCCCTAATTTATGTAGAAAATTACACTGATTCACAGAACCTTGCTTAAATTTAGAATCCAAATACATTTTTATTATTTTTTTACTTCATTTGTTCCTAGAGTCAAAATATATTCTTCTTCTTCTCCTTCTTCTTCTTCTCCTTCTCCTTCTTCTCCTTCTTCTCCTTCTTCTCCTTCTTCTCCTTCTTCTCCTTCTTCTTCTTCTTCTTCTTCTTCTTCTTCTTCTTCTTCTTCTTCTTCTTCTTCTTCTTCTTCTTCTTCTTCTTCTTCTTCTTCTTCTTCTTCTTCTTCTTCTTCTTCTTCTTCTTCTTCTTCTTCTTCTTCTTCTTCTTCTTCTTCTTCTTCTTCTTCTTCTTCTTCTTCTTCTTCTTCTTCTTCTTC